GTTTTGGCTGTGCGCCTATACCTACAAACGTTACACCGCAAACTCTCAATACAATCTCCTAACGATAAGGACATATTATTATTATAATATACCGGTAACAGTCGGACTTAAACGCCGCCGATACTTGGACTTAAATAAATAATTGACATAGTAATATGTAGATATGGCTGTTTCTAAGCGTCTACGTACAACATTATCGGATTGTCCTTTCAGCGCTGTGGCGGCTACCAATCGCGTCTATTGTCAATTCCATTGTGCAGTTAATAACATACTTAAAGAACTGTTTAATAGACATGCATGCGCATGTATTACTAGCAGTCGATGGTATCTCGGCCATTGTATATAACGTTGTAAATGGTTGAGAAATAAATTAGACGATAAATCGACGTCGGGTCGTTCGACATATTGTAAGTACGACTATAATATAGAGTCGTACTGTTGGCACGGGTTTCAGGAAACCCATGGCGTTTTCCACTGTAAACAAGTGACTACATTAATGCTGATATATATATATATATATATATATTATGTATGAGATCTGTTCAAACTGTCTTGTACTTAGGACGAGCGCGCGCGCGCGACAGAAGACATTCGCAGTTGTTGTCTTATGTCTATTTACAATAGCGATCCGCGGTCGGCTAGGTTAGAAACGACGTGCGAAACACTTGTTTGGTTGTTATTTAACATATATTTTTTGTACGTTATTAGTAGAATAAAACAAAAAATAAAAACAGTAATATATCGTTTAGGATTTTAGGTCAAGACCGTTTCGCATATTTGCTCGGTTTAGGTAACTGTCGCATTACAATAATTCCGTTATTTCCACACAAAAGCACGTGGTGCATATATGTGTATAATATTCGCTATAGACGCATATATTATACTGACCAGCAAATTATTCGGTGTCCTCCAATGTCAACCGGGTCCGGGCCGGGCACGTGCTACCAACCATCGCACTCGATGAGCGCACACCATTATAATGATTAATATTAATAGTGTTTTGTCTGATTATAATTATCATCCCATATGGAATGCTTACTAAAACAACCGCTGTTATGTTAGCTTGCGGTAAAAAAACAAATATAAGATCTAGATCATGTTCTTAAAATATACACCGTCGCCGACTTGCAAGGCCGCGCCAAAAATATATATGATAGTTTCTTTTCTGCTATATTAAAAGAAAAAACAAAATAAGTATTAAAAACTTTAATTTCTTTTTAAATTAAGCCAACCGCTTACATAATACACGGGTTTTATAATGATTATAAAAGTTTTACTTTATTGGATCTATAGTGCTCGTTTTGTAAACACGGGTACTTAATATTAGTACATCTTACTATATACATCAGTATTGGACGTTAAGAGTTCATGGTAGGTAATTTTTAATGGGTCAATCGACTAATTTAGATTTGAAATTATGTATCAATTATAAATGCAATGAATGTTGCGCTATATTACTTTCGGAATACCTACCGGCCGTTTAAGTCTCCTCCGGCAATTGGACCAAACGGCAGTTCCAACACCCGACAGTCGTTGAACGCGTACGGCTTATCATTCGCCTGTATAGTGTTATATATTACATTTTAATTAACTCGGTTGCACACAAACGATAACGGTATATAACAGAATACATATGTATAAAACGGATAGTTATAATTATTATACGTTAATGCACTTGCTGCGGTGCAGTGGCCTTCGGCTGCGGCAAAATCATTGATGAAATGAGGAGTCTAGTTTCAAAAAACCGGCTAAAAGACATTTTGAAAACGTGTTCTCGGTGACCATACAATCAAATAAAGTTGGTTTCAAAACGGCCCGTCTGAAGAAATCATTTTTGTTGTTTGTGAACATTTTCAAAAATTGCTTTTAGCTACGGTAGATCACGGTGATTTAACATGAGCCGGGGCGCGGTCCGGTATTTCGGAAAGTCGCGTGCCACTACTCTCTACGTAACGCCGATTCCAATTGTGTCTTTCCCCGACGACGTTATTATTGTTATTATTATTATCATCATCGTCTCATCTTCGTCGTCGCCGCCGCCGCCATCGTTATACTACCATAGGTAGGTTAGCTCACGACAATAACAATAATAACATTATGCGGACACGTTTGTCTAAGTCCTCTAAGTCGTGGACGGCGAGTCGTCGTGCGCATGCAAATCGACTTTCTACCGTTTTGTCATACCACGGGTGTGTGTATGTGTGTATAATGTGCGATCTTGACATTGCGGCCATGCCATCCCGGCCGTTCGATCCGCTGTAAAAGACCACGCTTTGACGTTTTCATCTGGTCGAAACCCTCCGGCTCCGAAGAGTCAACAGTCTGGTGTAATTTATGATCGCAGGTCAAACGACGGCGATATTCTTTTGTTTTCGAATGTCACTATTCGACCAAACGTCACACGCAGGCAAAGTAATTCGCATAATTGACAAACGAAAACACTATCAAACCAGTCACGACTCGGCGGTGTTTTCGGGCAAAAGTGCCAAAGTCTAAAGGTCAAACATTTTCAGTAATCAAAAGCGTGTAACGACTCATCAAACGACTCATAAAACCGTTATAATGTGATATAGATCGTTTACCTCCCCCCACCCCCCCAAACCGTATGCATTTTCAGAATCTACGTATGACATAAACTCGTTTTCGACAGTATTCCCCAGCATCATTGAATTGTTTTTAGAACGTTCAACCTAAGTGGTACAATAGATAAAATATAATATAAAACATTTTGACACGATAATATGTTTTGCTGATTATAATACAACCAATAATCTGGTAACCAGCCAAATAAATTTGGTAATAATACAATATTTTGCGATCGTGCAAAACATCTTTACACCACTGAGATAGATAGTCATTACAAAGTTTAAGTAAACTAGTAGATAACCAACGTCTTCGTGTTATCATCAGCGTTATAATAGGTAGAATACAAACTATTATAGAAAATATTAAAGTTGCAATGCTAAATTGCCAACTGTTATTGTTATACTGGTTAGTAAACCTAATGTAACCCTGTAGTCACCATCTTTGGGTGGTTTATATATTTTATTCATCAATCGTTTTAAGCATACTGACTTTTAAACTTATAACTCACTTAAACAAAACTTGTTTCTTTTTTCGTTGACAGTATTGTAAATAATATTAGTTTATGTTGAAGTCAATGTAATTTTTTATGTTCTTGTATTCTTTCAACCGTTTGGGTTTTTTTCGAAAAAAGCACCAGATATTACTGAGCAGAAATATAAAATACCAACTAAATACTTAATTATAATTTATTCTTGAAACATGGCCAGTCTTAAGTTGAAAAATGTCATAAAAAACAATTTAAATCCGCTTTTGTAGTATCAAGATGCGTCGTTGGAATTTCCTGAAGTCTGAACCGGTCAAAATAAAATACTAAATAACACCTGTCCACCTCATTTCCACTTAAGTTTTTAACGAAATTTTGTTTGTTTTTCTGTAGACGTCAGCGGTTAATTATTTTCCGGATACTATTAATAAAATCAAAACACATACGTCATATTTTATTTTTAATATATTATTATTATTATTGTATTGTCAGACGAAGCTACGAAGAACGGGTGGTTTGCATAATTTAAAAACCAAAAATAATCCAAGTCGAACGTGTCGACCATTATTCACGTGTACACTATTAGTATATTATGAGAATTTGTAATAAAAATAAAAATATTCATAAAAAATAAACTAAACAAAAAACAATCCAATCTAAACACAATAAGTTTATGCGATTAATTATTTCTAGTTATTAATTACCTATTTCTTTTTTTTTATTACCAAAATAGTAATTTATTAATATAATCATATACATTCATCATGTCTCATCATTACCATCGTAACAATAATCAATTAATCTCCAGCAAAAAAAATAAAAACGACATTGAAAATAAGATTTAACGAAAATAACATGTTTATTGGCGTCCAGCGCAAAATTGCCAAGTCACGAACACCCTAGGACAATAACGAATTGGCCACATGCAAAACTGTAGGTATCTAAGTACGGCATATGATTATTCTAGTCACCCAATATTATGATACACCATTACGCGCACGTGATCATGTCAAACGGCTTACGAAAAAAACCCGTCTGTTTAGATTAGTAAATCGATGTAAATATTATACAAAAAAACAGATTGACATGTTGTGAATGCTTTCGGTCGGGTTCCACTTAAGTATTATTAATCGTGTCCGCTCGTTTATTATTATAATTTAAGGATTATTTATCGTCGGGAATTCGCACCGTTGGGTTAGGTCATTGCAGGTGTTGTTCGAGTAGTCTTACATTGACGTATGGAATAAGAAAAACGTGTGTGGTTATTTTCGATCCGCAGGCGATCGATCTTCCCTCGCACAACCCAATGACATTGGAATCGACTATAACAAAAATTCCTACCAATTATTATTCTTCAAATCGTTTTGATTGGGCAACAACAACATTGACGCCAGCCGAAAAAAATAACACACTTATCCGTTGTCAGACGCGTCGCAGCCCGGGGGGCATCGTAGTAAAACAACAGAAACGCTTTGTTATGTTTTTTAATATTGAACTTGAAATTGTGAACTTTCAATGTCGCGTTACTTGAGATTTTATTTATCTGCTGTTATTTATACTTGTCCCTACGAATAATCCCTCGGTGGAACACGTGTCGCCCACTGTCTGGTTCGTTTAGTCCCTGAACTGTTGCCACTATTACCACAAAATACACAAGTCAGCTTAGGGCTACGACGGTGCGGGTTGAGTGAAAGCATAATCTAACCCGTCCTGTCGTTGGATCCGAGTCATAATAATACTATCACCACGGTGGACCGCACCCGCGTTGGGCTCGAAGGGCGCGCGATGTGACTTGAGACCATATTATGCTATAAAATAGTTTCAATAATAGTCAGCACTGATAGTCTGTAGTCGTGTCACTTGTTTTACAATTATTTCTTATATAATAATGTGTGTAATAATGGTGCATGTTTCTTTTTTCTTTCCTCAGACCAAATCGACGAGCAACGGTCGGAGCAAGAGGCAGAATTTCCTGGACGTGTTACAGCCATGGAACGCCAGAATAGGTGAGTCGGCGGTTATTGTTATGGATCTTAATAATAATAATTACCATTATTAAACGCTGTAGTAAACCGAATCTTTATTTTCGGTTTTATAATAATAATTACTCCGGCCAATCGATTGTTCCGTGTTCCCATTGTTTTTTTAGCTTGCGGTTTTCAGATCATCTGGCGACCGCCCAACCGCGCTGTACAGTAATTATTATATTTTTGAAAGTCGGTAACCACATAACATACTATTTGCCTACGCGCTGAGCAATTATTGCTGTGCTGTGTAAACGTTTTTCTAGAAGTATTAAAAGCTTTATACGTCTAATTCTTCTTGTTCAAATCCGCTTTGTCTAAAACGAAAGTCTTCTCATATTTGAGTGTTATCCGCTTAGGCAACATTGGCGACCATATTTCCTGGTATATTTAATTTCTTTTAAACCTGACTTCTAAGAGAAATTTAGTTGAGCTCTTAACAAGTACAGGCGACAACCAGGATGCATACCCTAAATGGGATCTATAATCTACATAGATTAGGTATCCCCTAGTTCCTATTTAAGTGTTCCATTAATGTTCTATCGGAAAACGTTATAGAAAACGGTGTATTTCTTTGGTTATTATATTATATGTTCAAAATATCGATACTGCAAGTCGTTTTAATAATCTATTTGTCCTTGTACATCAGTTTCGTTGAGCATCTTATCTGTCTAGCTACAATGTTCTGAGTATACGTTTAATGTATACATTTTTTTTCGATTTTCTTAAAGATTTATTTGCCTATGAGTTCACGAGACCCTTATGTATATTATTATTAATAAAAAAAACCACCCTTAGTTTTTTCGGTACTTTGCGTGACTTCCGTTTTAGGATTCCATAGTTACTATTCAAACGGCGGCAGTTAGACATGACATGTTATCTTCTATTATTATTTCGATTTATCGAATTGGCTTGTATATTACCAATCTCTGTCGTTTACTCTATAGCGAGATTCACAATATTTAGGTCTAACGTAGACTGTATAGAGTAAATTGTTTACTCAAGGTGTGTGCAGTTGCCGGACACACGTACCTACCGCACGGGTCGCGCAGTGAATTGTTTGACTTTTGACGACGAAAGTTTCAACAGAAATTTAATTACACGACGACAACTGCCGGTAAAAACCCAACAAACACGGAAGTCCAAAATCAAACATAATTATATGCATGTAAAATATGAATACGCGGCGGTATGCAAATAACACAGACGGATTCGACGATGCGTTAAAACGGTAAAATCGACCACACGGCCTTGATAAAACACTGGTGCCTTAGACTTCAACGTTCTTAGCATGATATATGCATGTACGGTACGACGGTATAAAATTATTTCGTTTATTTTGTATCGCGAGAAATCCCTATTCGGAACACTCAAAACAAAGTGTTCGAACCAAATTTTGGTGTCAATCTTAAGACTTATTATCTCACAAGTATTAATCGTGTTATTGTCGCGGATTATGATCGTTTACGGCAAAATACTAATCGAATCGTTCGGGATGTGTTTTTTTCAATAGCTGATGTAGAATTTTACAACAAAAAAAAAAACCATTTTCGTCGGACTCGTAGCCGTGAAACGAGTATGAACGTTGCTGTCTTCGAAACACAAACGTCGGTCTCAACTTTTGTTTTACATAAACTTTTTTTTTTTTTGGTAAAAAAAACGCGTAAAGGTCGTTCGCGCAGCATTATGTAATTACATATTCGTCGGAATGCGTCTGAAACACACACAAGGCATATCTATACCCGTATGGCATAGTGTTATTTTATTTTACATTTAAGACTTGACCGTTTATGTATTTGTCGGTCCCAAAGCAGAAAGCTAGTAATCCGTAACCGCGTACGAAATAGCCGACAAGTCTCGTTTCAATTGAACACTACAAAAATAGCGTCCGACTAATTATCAACCGATTGTTGTCATGCAAAACGTTACGCATTGTGCGATTTTTTCACACACTCATCGTGCCCAAAGATCCATATAGACTGGAACGCGCTTAGAAATATCCAGCCAACAAAAAATGTGCACCTACATGGACACGGACGACACAAAACTGTGAAAAAGAAAGTCAAATTTTTTAGTCTGTATAAATTAGCATACCAACGTAGGAGGGTTTTTTGCTAATAGTTAATTCTTTTATCACACCTTCCCAGCGGCCATTGGCAGTGTTTAACGTGCCCTTAACAATTTAACATTTTTGTTTGCCACAACTGAAACGGCCTGAAGTTAAGTTAATAATAAAATTGTCCGGGTCTTGACTCCGAGTACCGTGTAATTCTTAACGACCATTGGTGTATAATATTTGCATACATAGGGACTTCCTCGTAACCGCAACGAACCAAACAAATTTAATTGCTCGTCCTTCGTCCGTTGGCTGATCCGCTTAAACGGCATGGCTTTATCGCGTTTATCGAGCATTACTGAGATGCCAGTTTTTTTTTTTACAGTCATCTTAACGCCGGCGCGCATTGCAATAGTCTATTCAATGTTAATTTTTCCCAACCACAAACGTATGTACCACGAACGAGATTCGTACTATTTTTAAATACTAATATTATATTATACCATGTACACGGCGGGCATTGCATTGGCGCTGTACGCAAACGACATTTTCTAGCGTTTTCTATAATATGTATTATACCTAAATAGCGGATGGATGCATAATATAGTGATTGAACGGACGTTTAATAATTTTTCAACAAAACCGGTACCGATTTCCTATTAATATACCGCATCATCGGTCATGATCGTAATTATTATATAGTTTCGGAAGGTTTTTAATAATTGAATGGTAATTCGTGCGCCCGCCAACCGATAATATGCCGTTTGTTCGGCGTTAATGGTCCGCGCACGAAGGCACGACCGCGTTTAAGAGAATACACATGGACAATATGATTATATTATTATTATTATTATCATTATAGTCAACCCGTTGCAGAATATTCACGAATCGGAAACGTTTACCCGACGATGTCCGGATGTTCGCGGATGAACCACGGGTAACCGTATAGCCGAGGTCGCGCGGATCAAACAATGGACGACCTCACGGCACTTTATAAACTACATAGTAATAATATTTTTACTACCATCGCGATTCGCCTTTCAAGTATGGGCCGAGATGAAAGACAGCGCGAGTAATCGCGGCGAACGATACACTAAGCGCGAAGTTAAATTAAAATTCGAAATCTTCTTCTTAAAACATCATAATAATAACACACAGTTCCCAGTAGTTATATATATTGATATTACAAAAACTTAATAACTTTTATTGCCGTCGGACTTTCGTTTTTTCGAATAATACGGACACAATACCGCGCGGTTAGGTTTTAACTCGTATTGCGAAAAGCCCTGATCCTCTTCTGTACCTACACAGAGTATATACCGCAGTGGTCATTAAGTATTGCAATAGCGTATGAAGTAACCCGGTTGTAAATTAGTATTCGCTCAGGCTTTGGTCGTGTTTGCGTGTACGCTGTACTCTATAGTGACCGGCACATTAAACTGTTGTAACAATACACACAGTTTAATTCCATGCATAGATAACCTTTTATTAACGTTCATATCCGACGAACCAACCACGGGCACACTCGGTAAGTTTTAAACTTGTCGACCAATAAAACGTCCATTAATCTAATCCATTGCGGTGTTACATTTTCACATCGGTTACTCATAACAATAATACTTGGATTATTGTTAATAAATCTCTTCCTCTTTTCGGGCAACAATGCAAATAAATTCTATAACCCGTATCCGAAATCTCCAATTGTGCTAAACTTTTGGTATTTATATGCAGAATTGATGAATATTCGTATATAGACATAATAAAAAAAAAATAGTATGCTGTAATTGTTTCCGGTCTGACAAGAGATGCGCGATGAGTGTAGTTTTCCGCTAGATGGCGATGAGCTACACGGTTAGTTTTCTCGTGATTAAAAAAAATAATTTACCTACCATATCACATTATTTTTATTTCACCATAAAATACACTATTATTATTTCGATGTCCAAAAGATCTATCAAAAATCTATCTATTAGCTGTTGTAGGGTTAATTATATAATAATATACACAAACCAGCAACATAACAGCAAACTGTATTTTCAGTATTTTTACAAAACTCCTTGTGACATTGTATAAAATCAAACGTTATTATATATTCAGTGTCCAACTCGATCAATCAAACTCATTATTGATAAAAATAAAATATTACTAATTTTCAATGTGTTTAAAACAGATAAATAATTTATTGACATAAAGTCATCTAAATGTCAAGGAAACGACAAATATTTTTTACAAATTCCATGAATAACAATTACATAGTATAACAATGGACGTAATCCATACAAAATAATATATGTATACTATTAGCAATAATTAAAAAATGTTTTTTCTTGAAACAAAAACTTGAATATTTTAGTAGCGTAAAACTCACCGCTGTAGAAGTGATAAATGTCATTAAAGTGACTTTAATAATTTCACGAAATTTTCAAAATAGACCTTCATTTTTATTCTCTATTTATGTCGCTGTAAAGCTATATTATTTTTCATCGCTATTAAAACTCGACAGTAAAGTATAAGACGTACAATTTTGTTGTTTTATATTTTTGTTTTGTTTATAGCCCTTCTTCGAAAATAGCTTCTGGTCGCGCTCTTCACTCTTAACGTTGCGAACATATTATGCGGAGAACAAAATAATTTCTATAGTTAAACAAAACGAAACTCTAGGCCAGATCTTATTGACCCATACTTATCCATTCCTCGACTTTGACGGGGTCAAAACTGAGTTAATTGGTCAACGTCGGCAAAGACGAATACGTATTATTATTGCGCAATATGCATTAGGCAATAGTATTGTTTTATAGTGACAAATTGATCGATGACTGTGATAAAAAATCTTACTCGCGACGCTGTTTATTTCTCGACGTTCGGATGAGTTATGGCGATTCGCTCGAATGGATTTTCTGGTGTTTCTGTAACCCGGCGATGTACTTTATGTCGTATATTGCGATGCCATTCGGACTTTTCGGATACAATATTATAGTGGAGTGACACAACACGTTATGGTTTGTCGCAACCGTGCACCTTATCTATATAATATGTCGGTCTGGAGTTTTCACGTGCACACTCCTGGAACGAAAAGAAACTCCCAAACACCACAGGAACCGGGACGAGGTCGATGGGAACAGCACTTTTCAAATGGAAATTCGATTAGACCGTCCATCCTCGTGTTTAATCGGTCGGCAACCGCCGCCATGTCGCGTGTTACCGCCGCGAATAATATCTTGCCGTCGATATAATAAATGCTTGTTTATGTATTATAAAATAATATGTCTTGCGGTTTGCAATGTTGTGCGGTTTGCCTGTACGTTTGTGCGGTTGCTGTTACAGGTACGGCCGGAGACACTCAATTGGCGTCGGGCACTATGGTCACCGGAGCTCAGAGCGTGGTCCTACAGAACGTGGCTGACATTTGTCTGGCAGACATACCCTGTAATCCCCGGGCCCGGTACAGGAGTTTTGACGGCAGCTGCAACAACTTGCAACAACCCGGCTGGGGTTCCGTCAACACGGCGCTGGTCCGTTTGCTGCCGGCCGCCTACCAAGATGGTAAGTACAACGGTTAAAGAAAAAAAAAAATGATATATGTACGATTATTTATATTATAATAGTCCACACTTCATTTGTATTGAGTTTGTTCGGGTTGTTTTGGGTGTTTCCAAAGCACATAGAAAATATAGGCTGGTCCATTCAATTAACGTAGGTACAGATAATCTCCACGAGTTCAAGTGATTTCACTTAAAAAATCGATTGCATAGTTTTTTTAAACATTTACAGGAACAACGTTTGAAAATTTATAATATCATATTATATAGCACAAGAACCTAACTCGATTTCCCCAAAAGGTGCACTTGTATGACATCTGTACTATACCATCGACAAAAAATTTAGGAATTTTCGCCATCTTCAGAAAATATTTAATTGGACCTGTTAAGTGAACGTCACACGTGTAGTTTTCCATATAACATGTTTCCCATGTAGTATTTATAATAGACCCCATCGCTCTACATATTAATTTTAAATTTATGATTTTAACACTTCTAACTTAATATGCTTCAGCAAAAAGTTATTTTATTTTATTAGTAAACATAAAGTAGAAAAAAACCAATTTTTTTAATCATCTATTTTTAAAATATCGAACATTTTTGATAAAGCACGTCTTAAAGTTTTCTTTTCTCAATAGGCTAAGAAACTGTTTTCTATCTCAATGTTTAGTAAAGCTGCACTAAAAAACAATATGGACAGTTTTTTTTTAGAAAAAAATGTTGTTTATGGAGGCTGTGTTAGTCTGATAAAAACTGTCTTAATTGATAAAATAAATTAAATCTTAGATGTATTTTTCTAACAGACATATTAACAATAAACATTGGTTTTTGCATATTACATATAAAAATGTTTAAATCGAAGTCAGGAATTTTTCAACCGTTATTCAAAATACAAATTTTCCCTTCATACGCTATGTATATAATGTGCTGGCAAATACGTTTTTGAAAACTTGCCGTACTCTACATTATAAATACATTTGTTAGATACTATTCCGAAATTTGCTGTCCTGTCCAGTGGTCGTGTGGCAATAGCGGTATCATTATGTGTGGCACCTCGGATAGGTTCTTCCAAGGACAAGTTAAGATAAAAATGTGGACGCTGATGGTATATGCCGGTCAATGCACGGCGGTGTGCGGTAATTATCCTAAACCGCCATACATCGCAGTGTACCTGCCAGCTTAAAAAAAACGCTATAAACCGGGTATTTTCATTATTTAGCGTTTAGGATTAGGTGTACAAATAAGATATAATAATTACACGTTATACGGTATACCGTGTAGTCGACCGAAAACTAGGTGATCCCATCTAACAAATATCAATGTATAGAACGAATGGTATACCATACAATTTCAGCAAAGTACTAGGGTCGCTACAACAAACTTGCGCCATTCTAATTATATCATATCATTGTTATAGTTTCCACGAGCCGTATACTTACTTTAAAAAAACTGTATATATATATATATATAGACTTGAAGCGCACTTCACTGTTAGACTGTTCGGCAACCACCATGATGTTCTAATTATTTATTATCATTTAGACAAGCAGTTATACATTTAATCATCGATGCCGGCCAATTATTTGACAACCCATTATTATAGTAGGTACATTCAATAGCGGTAAGAGAAACAATAGTTCATTGTAACGACAAAAACGTTCGTGTTGTGCTACTGATGTCTGTCTATTGTTTTATCCAATTACGAATTTTTAACGATCGATCAACGCTTCTTTAAACTCTAGTGGTTAGGCTCTATATCTTATATGCATGTCTCGACAACTTTCATCCCTAAGCTCTACACATATATCCCCTACAGCGAGTTTATCATTTAACCTACGGCCGGTATACTGGTTTATTATATATATACAATTCGGATCTCTCTAAATGGAAAAAAAACCGCAATATAATAGACTGTTATAAATTTGCACCGCACCTATAATTATTGGCCATTTGTTACGAGAAATTTAATTGCCGTTATTATTTTTTTTTAATCCCTATTATTAATTAGATTCCTACACCTAGTGGACTTCTGATCCGAATACCGTTGCCCGTCTAGTCTGTCCGGTATTATTTAACAAGAGGAAACCCTGATTAGGAAAACCTGTTTTTTTTTTGCGATTTATAACCTCCGGACGTCCGGATTTATTAAATCTGACCACATACAATGTATTATGGCAACGATACATTGACGTGGGCGCCTTGGCCAAAACAAATGACTAATACAATATTATATTTTCTCTTTCTTTTCAAAACGGAATATATTAACCGACCGAGATCTCGAACAGACTAGCGAAATTGTTTATTATATATATATATTAATTATTATCGCTAGTAAATGCGAATCACACTCGGTCGACAACACACGATCTCGGTTTATTCGAGACCAACACCACAGCGTGTTTATAAGTGCAAAATAAATGACGATGATGATGAGACTGTAGATATCAAACGGGCATGTTATGCGATGAACATTACACTTTCTAGAGACTTAGCTCGAACCTTAATCGCTCGAACCTGGACAACAACAAACAATATATAATATACAGTCGTCTGTTGATTTAGGTACTGTAGATGATTAATAACCAATTTTTTTTATTTTTTTTTTTTCAGGCGAGAGTAGACCGCGGATGACCGCATTCGGTCGAGTACTTCCGAGCGCCAGACTTATACGCACAAATCTGTTTCCGGAAAGGAACGTGCCCGACATACGGTTCACGGTGGCCGTCATGCAATGGGCCCAAGTGGTAGCCCACGACGTCACTCTGCTCACAGAGAAATCCGGTAAGTCTTGTCAGGCGTTGTATTGTAAGAAACCGCACTAGATAGGTCTGCACACCGAGGGGGGTTCTACTTTCAAACGGGCACGTGAAAAATGACACCACGTGGTGCATGTGCGTGTACCTACATATACATGTCTTATGAGTAATAGCATGTTCTGTTATTGCTGAACTTTCATTGCTCAAGCTTACGTGCAAAATCGCTGGAGAGATTTAATTATGCAATATGTGTATTTACATTATGTGAACGTGTGTGCTTGTGTTTGTTTGTATATAAAATATAAATACATAGATTGGCAGAGAAGAGAATAATATGTATTGTACTCTATTATAGGCACCATTAATAGTTTGAGTAAAAAGGCCGTTTTAAAAAATTGAATGATGAAAAACTGTAAAATAACAAAATGTATATATTATTTTATTTATATATGTATTTATTTTATATTTTATTTGTCTAAATAGTAATACTTAATAGTTTAACATTAATAAAATAAGTTTTTTTTGAGATCATATGTCAACAATAACAAAATATTTGAATATCACACTCCCACGTTTGTTTTCACTATTCCACCTACTGGCAGTTGGTTCGTTTAAAAGCAGTATGTAAATAAATGTACCCGTCTAAAATGGAGTAAAAATTTAACTTTCTCCACTTGGGTTCTTAGTATAAGTTCTCTTTACAATTTTTCCCTGTATGTTTTGGTAAAATTATAAACTAATATCAAGTTCATTATTAAACTGTTTCACCATATGTTAATCAAATATAACAGACGACTCGTCCCGTCTACTTAATCATTGGGGAATTATCTCTACTGAATAAAAAAAAAATGAATCGCCAAATTATAAATTGTGTTATAAATACATTTTTTTTTTTTTTTTTTGGAAAGCGGAGGGCATTGAAAACCGAGATTCCCCAACATAAGTCTACGTCTTTGTAGTATTTTTTCGCATTATGCATGCCTACTTCGAGGTCACAGACTTGACATAGTTTCGGTCACGGTTGCATAAACCATCGAACATTACCTATCGATGGTATTAGTGTAAGTAGCATTCGCAGTAGTGCGGCAGTACCCGCATAGTATCATCTGCTCGATTCCGCACATAACATCACATGTTAATTGGTTCGGTCACCGTGCGCGTATCAGTAACACCGGGGGGGGGGGGGGTGTTGTATAATATTGATATTTATAATAATAATAATCATCAAATTATCATCATTTATCGCATATGTGCAATTACTGTCGGCGGCGATGACAGCTTCTTCTTATTTTGCTACTTCTTCCTATACATAAATCATACGGCCATTAATACGTGTACCAGTAATTGAAAACAATTAAAACACATTAGATTTTGATTTCGACGAGGTCTACAGGATGTGTAATGCGGTACTGTTTGCGCATCACTTCATTACACGTGCATATATGTATGTATACATATTGTCAGTCGTGCGCTCCTAAGTGCTTTATACTATTTAATAATATAATATATCTCGCATTGAACGTGTAAACCGTGTCCGAGGTCAGGGAGTCTACCCCATTCCGGTCTTCCCCGTTTTGGCCACCGCATCCTTGAAGGTCTTCATAATTATTCGATAAATAAACGGTATGATAATATCGCATGTCAGTAGATAATACAAGTAGCCATTTACTGGGTAGATATTATAGCGGATAATTTTTTTTGATGTTGACATTGATGATAAAAAACGCGACACACTTGAAACATTCAACGGTAGTAAATACATTGAACAGTTGAAAAATTAAGTACAAGAACCAGGCATGTAAAAATGATCTCAATTTGACAATTTCTGTGCGAAAATCAAATAAATCCAACCAATCGTCGCGCTGAGATATCAAATAAATATTTTCCTCTTCTTATTATTATGTCAAATGACAAAGTTCATTTTATTTTGCTTCCTGAAAAGTTTTGAGAATTAGAAAAGACTCATCTACGTTTAATTTTTTTTTTTGGGGGAGGGAAGGCAGATTCAGACTAGAGTTGTAGTTCTCATGTACCCGTTAGACTAACTTTTTTTTAGTTTGATTGATTTTAATAAATGTATATAATAATGGTATTTTTATTGGCTTTTCGAAATAACTGGCCTTTTGGCTTGCTTTGGTGCAGTTTGTATGCGGTTCAAAGCGGAATGACAGTGTACAAGTTATTCAAAACATGAAACATGTGCATTTGAACAACGATTATTTATGACCAGTACATATTGCTATGTACGTGTGTTTTGATGGTCACTAAATTCATTTAAAACCGTAACTGGAGCAGATTCATAGTACATAAAATGATTAATAACCCTATAATATATAGTGGTGTGTTCACGCTGAATAATTGATGCGGTTTCCGTAAAATAATTGCATTTGTCACTAACGGTATTGTTGTACTCCAACCTAAGGGCTGTATGGAAATGAATGGAGTGTTTTATACTTAAAGTGCACTTAATATCTTTATGTTAGCCATATAAAAACTTTTTCGAAGAATCAATTCGATAAAAAACTGATTAATTTTATTAGAATGATCGTTACATGGTAAACAATTTTACATAACAAAAATCTTGAAGCAAAATGGAACACAAATCACTTAAAAAACTTTCATATTCTTTAAATTGTAATTCGCCAATTCTTTCTTTCCTTTGTATATTAAAAGTGTACATTGTGTTTGGTAGGAAGATTTGGTTTAGAAATTAGGATGTTTATATTTATTAGGATGTTATATATTTTATGGTTAGTAAACCATAATATTATTGTTATACAAATATAAGCTTTCAATTTTCTATAATACGTCTACCGTAAATTTCACTTTTTAAATTGTAATTCGCTTATTAATTAAAGAGTCTTCTTTGAACTGCCGAGGTAACAATGAAAATTAATTTCACAAAGGCAATTAATTGATTTGGGGTGGCGCAGCCGGATATACCATCCGCTTGCCTTACGCAGCTGTTTAATAATGATATTATGAAGTAATTTCATGAAAATCGAAACTCTACATCCATTTAATTACTGAAACAGAATTAATTATGCTAATTATGATTTACCGTGACCCCGCTCTTTTTGCAGCCTGGTAAGTTTCCTTCCTTTTTGACTTCACTGGTATAAGATTGTTCAAACCTAAGTCATACTATTATATTGCACGGACCCTAAAGGAAATGCCTTCAAACACACATTTATGTGCATAGTGTTTAACTTTGATAAAAGAATCTCAGACTAGGTCTTTTCTATGGAAAATATTCCGTGACTTTTAGTGTTTGCTCTTGATGTAGTTTTTGTTGTTATGTTTTTTTTTTTGCTTTCATGAATATTAAAGTTTTGCTTTAACGCTAATCGTAAAATGTTTATTGGCAAGAGATTTTAACTTCCGGTTTTGATTTAGCATAGTGGCAACACTCTTCCTAATCAAGTCGCATTATATTTGCAGCGCTGCCAATTCAAATACCATTCTCAGCATTCGCCTGTCGGTAATCAAGTTTTGTTGTATAAGAAATTGGCAATTAGAACTGCTGACGGCCAATTGCCATCGGTTGTACGACCGATGTGATATAACTATTTTAAAGTTCCAACGTCATGTTCGATATAGTTGTGTTTAATAAATCCCCACATAATGTGAACTATGCATACAATGTTCAAGTCATTGACTTCCCACGCAGCCGGTATAGACTGATAATAATTCACTGCAACAATGTTCAATATTGTTTATAAATAATATGTTATAGCGTAGCGCTTATTTCAGCTGTGGAGAATTTCCATTAAAAATGATAATATAATATGCATTTAAGTTCTTATAGTTTTTTACTTCCGACCGTTTGACTTTTTGCAAAAACAATTTTGTTCATACGTCAAAGTCGTTTCGTCAGTGCTTATTCAATGAAAAAGTCATTTATACGAGTCATAAATAAATTATTATGAAGTAGGTACTTCCCCGAATACAACTACTCTTGAAGTTGTATTTCTGCCAATATATTATTGTAAGCGTGTTAAGTGCACGTAGTATAATTAATTAAATTACTCGAAGACTTGGAATCTGCAACTAAGTCTACAAATTAGAATACAATATATTTATAATTTATGTAATTTTTGTAACTTTATGTTACTATAATAAATTATCGATTTGAAAAAGATAAATTTAACGCGCTAATAAGTTTAAATTGAGGTAATTAAAACTTTTAAATTTAATGAACCATTATTTTGTTGTACGTTGATGTTACGCCACACTTAACAGCCAACTTATTAAAGTACACAATTTAGTTTAACCCAATATTTTATACAATCAATGTATTTATGTTATAGTCATCTAAGTTTTTAACTAAAAATTAACATAATATACATTTCTCGTTTTATTCTTTGTAGTACCTATTTCCATTCCATCAAGCGACAACTACACGTCGTGGAAACAAGTAATATTAGGAGATAACTAACTTTTTTTTTTATAGTAGTTAGCCAAAATGGCCTTTGAGTTCGACAAAAACAAAATAAATAACTAATAAAAAAAAAAGTTACCGTATCTTTAGCAATAAATGATAAACAATATGCCAACACAAGTGCGGTTAGTTTTTACGCCTTAACCGCATCCATTTACAAGTTTATGACAACACAACGTTTTTTTATGGGATATTTTTTTTTTGTCCATCTCACTATACTACCCGTTTATCTAGGTTTTTCAATATTGTAATAACACCACCGTAGCCGTCTCAATCATATCGTTTTATAAATTATTAGGTATATGTTAATGTTGTTGATGGCGAATAAACAATATTCGAACGAGTCACCGTGTCGACGACCGTTTTACGGTTTCGAAGATGCGCTTGTTATATACCTAATACTTATTCCTCGGTCGAACGTTACTTTTACTATCGATGACCATTTAGTTTTGTCGTTACATAATTATCATATTATGGTCACTCGCGTGCGGTTGACAACAATAGTGTTATAATGATGAATAATGATAATAATCATTATAGCATAACCACGATGACGACTTTGTGCGTGACCATTTCTTCGACGAAGACAACCGTTTTCACTCAAACCGAAGTGTTCATAGTAAGCACTTTTCGTTTCCGATTGGTGTGTCCATCACCTTGCCCGGTACGCGCAACAATTATTATTAATGAACATCATAATAATGAAACATCGAGCAAGAAAGCTGAAAGAATATTACAATTCGGCTCTACGCGGAGATAACAGTCCAAACCTATAATCAAATCGACAAAAATATCCATAACCATTAATACAAAATGAGTAAATTAATGACAACATCATATTATGGTCAAGCAACATTTCATTTAAACAAAACGTTACAAGTGCTATCACAAAAATAAAAACTACATAAGGTTTATGCAAGACATTGGACACAAATACATAATGTCAAAAATATACCTAACTGAAATGTTTCAAACAATATAATACACTTTTTTCTCGTTCATGTCGTCGGGAAAGTTCACGTAAATACCATTTGCGTTTATTTTGCTACAAACTTATTTTCTTTGGAGACAACGAGAGAATTGGTTTAAAAAAATATTCATTTAAATTGGTATTTTCTTGTTTTCTATTATATTCGTCTCGTTATATTATGGAAATACTATAGAGCATAGCTTCTGTTTAGACTTTAAAGATAAGAAAAAGTTATACTAGTATACTTTTATGTATACATAAGCTTTGGACTTCTGTTGAATAAATGTATTAAATTTTCCATTTTTCCAAGATAATTTTATCGATAAAAAATTTCATTTCGAAACAACTGCGCTCAAGTCGTTTTATAAAGTTTTACAGATAAATTTAAAATAAAGTCGTGATAACCTGATCATATTTTTTTTACATAGTCTATATTATACAAGGCCTACCGACACAATTGTGTTTCCAGTAAAAAAGCAAGCTTTTATCAAACCAAATAAACATTTTTTTTTTTTGCTTTAAACATTAAAAAGATACCGTTTGTTTAAAAAAAAATGAATATTATATTTTGTTTAAAGCATAAATGCTATACATATCCATAGGCAAAACAATTAAAAAACCATCATGGGCCGATTTTTAATTTTTTTTTTATGAAATGTAAATTAGTCTCTGCTGGGCTGTTGTTCATTATCAATATAGCTTATAGGTATCGCCAATACAGACTACGCCATATTAAAAAGTATGCCATAATCAATGCTATAACTTTAGGTGTGTTTTTTAATAAACTATGACCGGGAGCTATACAAATTCTGGTTTTCGACCGTTACCGTTTAAAGCAAATTTAATAGTCAACTAATTATAATTATTGTTCTTCTTAATCGGCCGATGAATTTTTTTTCTTCGCCCGATAGCGGTATCAGCTATTGCATAATGGCGAATTCGGTTTACCATCGATCCCGAATAAATCAATCGACAGTCATAATTATTATGGCACCGGTGTGTTTATTATAAAAATAAATGTATTCTGCACTTTATAATGTACACCACATCATTATATATTATGCGTCTCGCGTGTCAATGACGGAATCGTTATTTTTTTTTTTACCTTTCTTCCGGAATTGATCGTCTTAGAAAGTTGAGCGTTCGGCTTACCTTTGACATTATACATTCAACGCGGCGGATGTATTGTGCTGACATAATATATAATATGTACCGAGCAACGTCGGATATGCCAGACCGGATCATTCAATATTATTATTCGCACAACAAAATATTATACAAAATAATAACGATAAAAAGGCGTCCAACGGTTTTACCCGCTATTCGTGACGTCATTCCGAATTAACTTCCAGACAAAACGAAAACTGCAATAATAATTTATCGATCCGACGGGTTCTCAAATTGTGCAAGTCACACACTTCCTTGTTTTGGCGTCGGTCGGTCGAACTCCGTTAAAATAGGGGGCAATACATTTTCATAATCGCCGTCGACCTTTGAGTTTTTTATTGTTGTAAAAAACACAACCGATCATAACCGATCAGTTGCGGAAACAAATACAAGTGAACTCAGATTAGGTTTTTTCAAAAAAATGGTATACATCTTTTGCTGACTAATCGACCCGCCTAATAATGAATATTTCTTGGTTTATTTTTTTTAATTTACCAATCGTTATTCTTATTTGGTATTGTCTATATATTTTACAGCGCCCGACTGTTGTGCTAGTAACGGAAAACTGTTGCCGATCGAAACGCTTCATCCCAACTGTTTCCCAATCCCTGTACCGGCCAACGATCACTTTTACTCGAGATTTGGCACAGCCTGTTTACCGGCCAAGAGGACAGTGTCTTCAGACGACTTTGGATGCAAACTTACGCCCCAACAAAAGGTAACAATGTCCGTCATCCAAGTAATATTATTTTTTTTTTTTTTTAAAACAGCATGTTTGGAGAAAACATAAAACTAAAGAAAAACACTTTTAATAAAATCGTGACAAAAAATGGGGTAGGTACAAACGACAAATAAAATGAAACCACCTCTAAAAAACAAACTATTTATTATTACAACAAGAAAATAGTGTTTGATGCATAGACTTACATTACATAAATACATTTAACGGTTAATGAAAATTTGATGTGCCAATCGAGTATATGATACTAATATGCGCAAACAGTTAAACATTAAAAGACACGTTAAACTTGTAATCGACGTTAATGCGAACTGACATATAATATTGCGATAGATCATTAATTTTTAATTTGTCATAGAGAATAAACACACCAGGGTAACGGTAAGGTTCAACATAAATAATTTTGCATACCGCAATTTCAGGTGATAGCTACAACTCATTTCTTGGATGGGTCGTTAGTGTACGGTGCGACGGGTAACACTGCCGGCAACTTGAGATCGTTCCGAGGAGGTAGATTGAGGGCGCAACTGACAAGGGACGGCCGAATGTTCTTGCCTAATGTCAACACACCTACTCAATCTTGTAATGTGGCCAGCAACGTCGAAGTTTGCTACAGATCAGGTACGTCGACAAAAATCAACGCTTGAACAAGTCTGAAACATCCCATACGGAATACATACAGACTATGTACAGTTTATTTGATTTCAGAACACTAATATAATAGTACATGGTAAAATCGAATACACCATTCAAACGGCTTAAAAATAACAAATAGGTTTAATACTAAGTGATTACATTGTACTTAGACTATGAAGTTATAATAAGGGTTTAGTATATGAAAGGAATAGACTGTTTATTAATGGGACTATTTTTAAAAACTTCTTACGTCGCAAGCTTAAAAGAAAAACTTTCTCCTTAGAGGAAAAAAAACGATAGGATTTAAATACCGCATTACGATGATAACACTGTACGTGACACACGTTTTCTAGTCTAACCTTGTCTTCTGGTCTCACCACTTTAGCCTTTAACCCTGTTGATCTTTTTCTAACGCTTAAACTTTCGGTTAATAAATAATTTTCTTATATATTTAATTGTATTTGTAGACGGTTTATTGTTATAATTCTTTTGGGGATTTGAACTCATCCGAACAATGAGAATATTTTAATAATTAACCGTAACACAAAACTAATCTAAAAAAAATTGACAAGAATTCACCGAAAAATATTATTAAAAAAAAAATGAATTGGAATGCACGACACTCGCATATTAATTAAAATATGTTTTATTAAGTGAAATGCTTTACGCAATAAATATTCTAATGGACTTTTATTGTAACTTGTAAAATATAATGTGAATTATGATTTTTTAGGCGACGGCCGAGTGAACCAGCACCCGAATATGGCCGTGTCGCAGGTGGCGCTTTTGCGGTTGCACAACTTCTTGGCCAACGAATTCGCCCTGCTCAACCCAACATGGTCCGATGAGGTTTTGTACCAGGAAGCCCGAAAGTTCGTTGTCGCCATCATACAACACATCACATACAACGAGTTTCTTCCTATTCTCTTGGGTAAATCCACTATCAGTTAGATCGCATTGAGGTTTTTTGATTAATTAGATATGAAGAAAAAAAAATGTCCCACGTGTTGTAATTAAACTGTCACGAAGGATACAATAGTAATATAATAAAACATTATTGTTTCATCTCGTGGTAATGTGTTGTATTTAATAAACGACATATGTTTTATGGTTTTCCAGACATTAATTAAGTACTGCTGTACACCGAATAATGTCCCGTAAATAACTATAATATAATTAATTTCACAGGACTTTCACTTACTAATAAAATATAATTTGGTCGTATATTTCAATCAATTAGTTATAATCGTATGCTATGTGTTGGGCGCTGTCGAAAGCGCCAAACAGATAAAACGACAGACGTTCGACAACACTATTTAATCGACGTTATTAATAATTTGAAATTTCCTCTTTTACTTTAATAAATAACGGTTTATGCTTTGGTTGTGCTTAGGCGAAAACTATGTTCGCGAAAACGGGTTGTCCACGCTGAAACAAGGTTACAGCAACTTGTACAACTCCAACATCAACCCTTCGACGTTGGCAAGTTTCGCCGGTGCAGCATTTAGATCTCTGCACAGCCTCGTGCCTTCCGTATTCAAGTGAGTCTCGTGATAAGAAGCACTTGTCCTGTCTTGTCATGTTTTTCTGCAGTTGTTAATTCTGCCATTCTGTTTTCCCCACAGTCTGGTCAACGAAGACCGAGAAAACGGAGCGGCCCCAACGCGGTTCAGCGAGTGGATGAACAAGCCCGGTATCATACAAAGGCCTGGCAACTACGACATGTTCCTGCGAGGCATTGCCACCCAACCGCAACAAGCGCAAGATATATTCTTCAGCGAAGAAGCAAGTCGACCGTTTCGGAACCGTACACAATTCCGGTATTAATATACTGTGTGTTTGGTTTTCCGTTTAGATTACCGATCTGCTGTTCAGGGCAAACGGCCCGCTGGGACAAGATTTGGTAGCCAAGGACATACAACGAGGCAGAGACATGGGCATACCGTCTTACAATCATTTTAGATCTCTCTGCGGATTGCCAAAAGCCACGTCGTTCGACGAACTGAGGGACGTGATGGACGAAGAGGTGAGACGAAAATGCCAATCGGGCAAAACAATAAAATAATAATTCATCGTGGTTTGGTTACAGAGAATCGAGAGGTTGGCCAGGATCTATCCGACGGTGGACGACATCGATTATCTAGTAGGCGGAATGCTGGAGAGAATCATGCCGGGCTCGTTGACCACGCCGTCGTTTAGATGTATCTTGGGCGAAGGGTTCTTCCGTTACAAGGCCGGAGACAGATTCTACTACGAATACGACATATCGCCAGGAGCGTTCACACCCGGTATGCACGCACACAAATAAAATGCCAAAAAATGACGAAAACCTTAATAATAACCGACCACACGATTGTACTTTATCTTGACCAAACTTTTGAAATTATACTTTTTTTTTAACATCAACTAAATCATATTTTTTTAGATCAATTGTCGACGATCAGAAAGTTCTCGCTTTCCACTCTGATGTGTTTGACCGGTGACAACATCCAAACGATGCAAAGGAATTCGTTCCTACAAATTAATCCCGGGTGAGTGTTAAGTGTGATTAGCGAAGAATAGAATGTCTATTTACCATGAAATAACTTGTATTATTGATTCCCATAGAAACGCATTGATACCTTGCAGACAAATCTTAGCAGAACTGGACTTGACGCCATGGAGATTTCAGAGCTAAAAAACTTAACCGTACTTAGTGACGGACACGGGTCCCGTTGCGCTTGTGATATATTGTAACATACATAATAATACCATATATGTTAGTCTTAAATAGGTATTAAATATTTTTTTAATTATTTTTAAATAATTTAGTCGCGTTAAGGATAAATTATTAATTAAATATTAGTGTTACCAAATGTCCACAAGCCAATCGACAGATTCGCCAAATATTTATTTTTGTACCGCAGTGGGCTTAATCGAGCATCTACAAAACAAAATGTTTCTTGTATTTCTTGTGTTTTAATTATTGTCCTACAATGGCTTAATGTAGTACTTAATGACATTATTGTTTTCTCGATGTTAACAAGTTTTATGTGTCCAAATTTTCAAACGTGCCATGGCAAAATGTCGAAAAAAAAATTAACTTACCTAAATATTATTGTATTTTGTTTTTGCTTATGATCTTTGTAAAACATATTTATTATTCTAAATAAGAACAACCTAAGTGTACCTTGTACTTAACCACCACGGTATTATAATAATGATATGATTTTATTCCTAAATTAGAATTAGTTAATTATTAATTTATTTAGAAAAGAACAATTATTTTTAAAATAATTTTATGTTTTACCTACATTTAAATGTCTTTATGTGTATTTGTATACCTAAAAAATAATATAAAGTTACTTTATATAAAAAAAAAAAAACGGTGTTGCTTCATTCCGCCTTTAGACCATTCAGAGTTAAATTATTACTCAATACATAGTGAATAGATAATATAATATAGATTTTACCCATTTACTTAAGGTCTGCGTCACAAGGTTATAAATCCCCTTGCTTTAAAACATGAAGCTGAGTGATAAGGTCTAATAATTTTAGAAATAAAAAAAACTACCTAGTTAAAAGATGTTTTTATTTTATATTTAAGTATAAAAAATCATTATAAAAATCCAGCTTTTTTTAGCTCAGACTTGATTTTATTTATTTTTTCTGCGCCAATCTGTGGCAGTGGTAAACGGCAAAGGCCACCACGATAACCCAAAAGGTCCATAGCAACCTTTAAACCGGCCGGTCCGCATTCTTGCATTAGCTACAAAAAATAAACATTAGGAAACTATATGATTAACATTATTATTTATTACCAGTAGATCGATATTAACGAGTTGTTTTTGTAAAGTCAATGCTTTCTCCCATTGACCCGAAACGGCCAACTCGTGCATTTTACACAATGGATCTCCGAGTACGGCTGCCAGACCGTTAATTCCACCAGAACAACCTACACACAACAGTAGATTACTATGGTTAGATTGATAAAAAAATGTAAAACAAATAATTTATAAGTCACAATCAGTTTCCTTTCTTACTTACCAACAAGCATTGCGGCCAATAAATAACTGGCCGAACCGGCGACTACTTCAAAGTCTAAATTTTTTGTTTCAATAACCAAAGAAGCTAATTTTCCCATCTAACAAAATACATAATCTTATTAGACCGAATAATAAATAAACCGTTTGAAAATATTTATTTCATTTTATAGTTGCAAACTCAAGCGGCTAATAGAGTACATAAATGAATCTACGAATACACTTGACCACGCCTTAGTCAGCTTTTTGTAATTAAGTTAAGTGATTATTTTTGTCTTTAAATCATAAATATGAAAAACTGTACAGTTTACATGTATTATATATTATTTAATTGGTTTGTCTTAAACAGATTAAATCCTGTAATTGAAATTTGAAACAAAGGATATTTTATCAGATAATCTTTAATAACTCCATTGACCCAATTATACACTACGAAACACTTTTTGAGTACTTACATCTCTGTCTTTGACGCCTTTTATATTTGGATGTAAAGCCATTTTCTTCAATATTTGAACACTCAAATCGATACCCGTAACTGGTACCATGTTATAGACTATTACAGGCGCCGGACAAGCGTCAGCTACTGATATGAAATGATCATGCATAGAATCCTCCTGAATACAGTTTCATAATTAATAAAATTATTATACACTTATACAATACACTGTGTATGGTTTAAAAGTCAAGTAATTGACTTTACTTTTAATTCGTAAATTTTTTTTATCGTTTCAAGTTATTTTATTAAAAAATAACAGTAAAAACAATTCAATAAAATGTATATACACATATATATTAATAACTCTTTTCACAATTTGGTTAACGTTATTAAGTATAATTGTATAAGTAAAAATGTTCTAACGAACAACTAGAATGTAAAATTTGTAATTAATTTTACAGTTATATTTTAATACCAGTTACACTAAATCAACTCGGTAATGACAACTTAATAAATTATTCCATCGTCGATTGATGTCTGAACAACTTATAAATATGGTTTATTATAGAAAAAGTTGAATTATAAATTACTCATTAGTATTACCGTCATTCGAGTTTTGAAGTAAAACGGAGTCATCACGAGGACACCATCTGCTCCAACATCTGCAGCTGCTTTACTTAGCTCGCACGTTAGTTTAGTGGCTGCGGAACAATAGTTAAAATTCATTTTTGCATGTTAGTTTATGATTTACACGAAAATAGAGAATAACTTTGATTGAGATTTTACATAATTGTAAAGGTATTTTTTAATTTTCATCATAAAACCTTTTGTATATTACTGCTTAGTAGGTATTTAACAATAAAACATTTTTAATTTAAAAATAGTTCATAAGTCTTTGGGTATTTTTAAAAAAATGTTAAAATACAAATTATGTAACATAATTGACATTGCTATATTTTTATGCAATCATACTTGATTAATAATTTTTTTTTAATTCAAATTAATTGATCGTTCGGCATTTATGAATCTTAATTATGATTTCAAAATACTCTCAAAAACAAAAAAGTCTATGTTGCATTACTCAGTATAACGGACAAAATTGGGACTTTTTTAACTCACATTCGCAAGTCGTGCCAGCAATCAGTAAACGATCTTTGCCGATCATTGACCTGACTTTTGATACCATTTCCAATTTTTCTTCTGCTTTTAAATAAGGGCCCTCGCCATTTGACCCACCTACACAATAACCTGTAAATAACAAAAATGTCCATTACTATTGAACACATTTTGAATTCGGTAGAAATTATTTGTCTATTATCACACAAGTATTTTATAATAATAGTATATTTACATACAAATTTAGTTAAATCTAAGACAAATATATGAAGATAATTAAGAACTCTGTTTTTAATTATAATATTGATAACATAGATGAGTATTTATGCTATTTATTGTAGTAACAGCTTTTTGTATTTAATATGCATATATATATACTTATTATTAGCCTATTTTTAGGTTGTACCTAAAATGTTTGACTCGAAAACAAATATTTCATAATTCATATTTCGCTATGTAATCTATAAGTTTAGATAACATGATAAAACTAATCGGTAAACTCAAGTGGCTCTAGTAAAGCACTTTCGGTATTCAACATGATCGATTAATAAACTATAGCTTACGTTTCTAGTTAAAATATACATAGATATGATATATATATATATATATCATAAATGCATTATCATAGCGTGCCTAACATATAAACTAGTTATTGATACACGATTTAAACATCTTTTTATTGATATGATGTGGTTAAATAAGTTATGCAAAACATACATTAATATTAGTTAATATAATATTATATTGTGATCTTGTTCTCACCTTTAAATGGTATCTTTTCCCATCGCTCGAAATTGGCCGCCAATGCGTCGTAATCAACATTGCCATTCGCCTGATATGGAGTCGGTATAGGCACAAAGACACCGCGAAGATCAAAATTTGAGTTTGCCTTATGACTGAACCTTCTAAAGAAAGGCCGAAAGAAAACGCTCGGAACAAGACGCATGTTGCTTGTGGAATGGCGTTTCAATAAATAATGTACTTCAGATAGAAGCCGTATCTTACTCTATTCATTTTGATGATGTAACAGCCATTGTATACGTCCTGTTTAGAATCGGTGTAATGTAGCTGTTCCATTTGGTTATTTGATACGTTAGAACCGTGATGGTCTTCTTTGGATCTCCATATCCAATAAATTTTATTTTCAAAAAAAAAGTAGTTCTAGGCAAATGCCATAGGTATATGGCAGCGGGTCATTCACGAGTCGTGTTACAGTAATAATATATTCGAAGAACTATTCGTTTTAGCCAAGTAAAGTGGCAAATAAAACGTTGGTGTAGGCATTGAACGAACAAAAAAAAAATAGTTAAAAATGTTCAATTTAAAAATATTTTTTTTAAAGGTAGGTTTAAAGGGTAACTTTTAAAAATCAAATAACAAGTTAATAATGTCAAGTGTCAACCTATATGGTATTTTTATTTACCTATGAATATCAAAATTTTGTAATGAAAACAATGGCTGGTCGATAACCAGTATAAAAAACACTTGATATTATTGTATATAAAAGTATTGGTGAGGAATTAAGTGCGGCCGCTGAGTAGTTGTTTTTGTCGGCGTTCATCACTCGTCAAAACGTGCTTCCGCGAAAATGAATTATATTTAATAAATAACACAATATTTTTAAACTCGGCTTACTATAATAATAATATGCGTTTATAAATTATAAAGGCGTCTGGTTAAATGTATTTAAATTACTTTTTTGTATACTTTGTCAGTTATATATTTACAGGAAAATATAAAGACTGCAATTATGTTTGACGCCTACTCTTTTTATATAATAAATATCATTACCTATCCTCAATATAACTCCTTCGAATAAAATTCCCAATGATTGTTAAGCTGTTTACAGTGGTTAAAGATTTGTTTTGTATAAAATATGGTGTCAAGGCAACTTCTTCTAGTATAATAGTTTTGAATCGAACTGGTCCTTTTTGATGGCGTATAATAATTTTTAAATAATTGAAGCCGTTATTAGTTATGGCAATTACCTAATATATTTTGAACTAATATCGCATTAAAATGTTGAATTTTTATTGGCAATAAAATTTAAAATGGTATTAATATGTATAAGTCAAGGAAGCAACACAAATTGCATTTTGTGATTGATATTAGCTACACCTATATTTTTTTTAAATATGCGGGTTTAGATAAAATAATTTTACTAAAAAAAACTCGAAAAGCGGCAAAAACCTGACGATTTTATAAAAAAATATGTTTATTTTATAAAAAGAAATGTAGTATAGTAGATAAAGAGTTCTTGACGACTGCCCTCAAATACTAGTTGTATTAATTATAACAGTTTTCCAGCTTCAGTGAAGACGGGGTTTTTTTTTCTTTAATAATATCTGTTACATAGGCTAAGCTTTACTATTAAAAGGACCGGACTAGATGCAGGCCCTAAGCAGTAGGCAATTTTAAATGTGGCCAACCAAATTACAAAAACATTTTTTTTTGTCACATAACAGGCCCACGAATATAAAATGTTTACTGGCCTTTAAAAGCTAAAAATGAACACCGTTACAAAGGCCTTTGATTTTTTACTACATTTTTAAGCCTACAATATTTAGGATAACATTTAACTAAAAATACATGTAATTGTATAATTTTTAATAAACACACATACTTTGTTGAAATGCGTTTAATTTATAAACACAATTATTATTTGAAAATATAAAAATAAATGCCATATTTGAAATTAACATAATTAAATCACGGTAATGATAGTATTTCATATTGATACGACAAAAATGTTTAAACAACATGCAGTCTAGTTTTCTAACCTATTAATTAATTATAATAATAATCTAATTAATACATTAGACAAAAAACATTTTATTTTCTTTGCATCGCTTTTATTTATGAAAAATCCTCAAATTAAAAACCAATAATAATAATAAAATAAAAACGCGTACAAGAATTTATAATCTATGTGATAAATAATAGTTTGATTATATTTGAATAAAGTTAGCATACATTTTATATCTATTGTTTTTATAGACTCGATTAGGTATAGAGTATTGTTGGGTTAAATTTTAAGAAGACATAAATTACTGATTACCTTAATACGAGTGTGCATCAATGCAATACAGTTAATAATGAATGTCTAATAGTTTTTTACGATCGGCTTTGTCATTCATTGGTACTGTTAATGGTGTTTTTGGATTTTGAGTTTCGTCCGAATGCTTGTACTCAGAGTTCCAATCGAAAAATCCCTTCAAGCCACCGCCGGAAGTCGCCTGTTTGTAATTACTGTAGTTTTCGAGATGTTGTTTTTTGTCAACCACAAATGAATTTGATGGAATTGCGTCCCTCGTGTATTCTGAGCTGCGGTTGGACCTCGTTGAATTTAGCCTATCCAGCAATTTATCCGAACAAGCTACAACGGAAACCGCTCGGTTGGAGAAATCAAATTCATACAGTACGGCACTAGGATAATCTGTCCCGTTCAATATTAAATAGGACCCTTGGCATAGGAACTCGTTGAAGAGCACTACGCACCTGGATCCGTCCAGCGCTAAGTCTATAACGAGAGATTCCAATCGGTTGTGTAGATAAAATTTGTTGGCTATGACTACCGAGTCCAAATTTAAACACCTTCGGGGGTAATTTACTTCGCCGCATAGCGAAAAGTTGTCTTTCATACACATTAGCATGGATTTATCGTTGTCTTCATTGTCATCGTTGCAATGCACCACGAGTACCTTTAATACGCACAAAAAAATGAACACTTTCATCGTTAAAATTGTCGTTAGAACTTCTTGCCGGAAATTGGTTCAAATTATTAATGTTCAACTCTTGTCGAAAATTACTCTATTGAAGGAATCACGAGATGACCTTTTATACTTATAGTGGTACCAAGACGTCAACTAATCGATATCTAATCTTAAGTTTTTCTGTACAAAAACAATCCGTTTGCGAATAAATCTACTAACACGTTTTACAATAAAATACAATTTTATTGTTGACATCTAAATATTTTGACCTTGGCTTTTTTTTTCAAGTTCATGCTGTTACTCAGTAATTCAGTTTACTTACACAACAATTGAACGTAAGGCTTCAAATCCAATACTAGTTTTTGTTTTCTTGAATTTTAGCGGATTTTTGTTCAAACAAAATTAATCTACCCCTTGCCTTCGTTAATTTTATTTACACTAAAACCCTTGTAATAAAAGTGACAAAACCTTGCCTTGCTTATAGCGAAGTGTGCCTTATTTGTACATTTCATATTTGAACGCCCTTACAAATTATTCAATATTCGTATTGTATTAATTATGAGTATCTATATAAACTAACTATATATTTTTAATCAAACACAATGTAGGGTACATGGAATTAAAATATGATTTCTCATAATAAGTAACAATATATGAAACAACATAAAAATCAATTGTAAGATCCTATCAAAATATCAACAAGAAATAAAAAAAATTAATGTAAGCTCACTTTAACTTATAATATAATAATTACAAAGGTTATGACGTTGTAAATGTTAAATAATTATTACTGCTGGAGAGTACTGGCAATACATATAATTTAATATATATTTAATTGTTTTTAAGATAAATAGCAAGACTCTATAAGGTTTCTAGTAATATTATTTATTCTTGCAGCTTGACTGTTATTAGGAACATTTATATTATTGTAATTGTCTAGAATTTTTTAACGATTTTCCACGTAATAAAAGAAGTAGGCAGTTAATCAATTATGTGCTGAATAACTCCAAGGTTGGAGTTTTAAGTTATACAATTTGTTATTCGGTTTCGTTATAACACTTACTGCTGCAACTTCAAGGTATCAATATAGTTGTATGTTATTTTTTTTAAGTAATTTAATGTTTGCTGTGGTTCGGCAAAGGTTTGTAACAACGTTCATTGAAATTCTGTTCTGTGTAGTTTGTCTCTAACACGTACACCATAATAATTTCATTATGCCTAGAAATTAATTATAGAGGTATCACGTCTGCTTAATGTTATTTTAGACTTCGGTTTGACTGCCTCTAATTAGGGATTAGCAAAATTAATTTCTATTTCTCACAGCCACGTGTCACGGTCGGTTCTGTTATTTTAATTGATATAATAATATAACATTACTGACGATTACAGTAATATACTGAGTAAAATACATAGTTTTGATGTTTTTGTCAATAATCGACAAGGTTAAGGTTAAGCGTTTTACTGTAATTATTTACATAATATTATGATAAGTCGTATTAAAGAAACTTACTACAAGTGCTTTGTTAATTACTGCCGTTCGAGTATTTAAGTAACTCATCATATTTCTGTTACCACTCGAATAGTAATACTAGTGTATTTCTTATTTCCATTAAGTTCAATTAGAAACTTAAACTTGTGATGACGCCACACATTCGTTTTTCGTAAAAAAAACAGGTCTGACATTCTGTTCACAGATGTAAACATATTTTATCTTATAAAAACTATTTTGACCACAACAGGAACACCTTTTAAAAAATGTAAAAAACTCGTCGGTAAGGCATACGACGAATTTTTTATTAATTTCATGTTTTTTTGCTTACACTAAATAATTTCTATTATTAAAACTACAAATAAATGTACATTTTTATCTTTTACTTCACCACTTAAGAGAACTCCAAACAGCCGTAATTTTATGTATAAAACTAGCTATTTCTTAAAACATCTTAATTTTTTTTTGTAGCAGCCATAAGGTTTTGAAAATATAGAAAACAATATCTTACACCATAAATATGTCGTCGGTTTTTGGTGGTATCTCTATAGCTTCATTTTTAATAATTTTTTTCAATTCATATTTTTCTCGTTTTATTACTTATTTAATTACAGTATTACAAAATAAAGAAAATTAATTTTCATATATTTTGTAGGGATGTATATTAAAAATTAAAACTTTATAGCGACCAAGTCAAATCTTATTTGTGTTTAGGTTTTAAAAAATAATAACGAGAAAATGTAGGCGAAATCAGGTATCATAATAATATTAAAAGAATATTCACTAGTACTTTAAAATTAAAGCCAGTTTAAAAATTGTATTTTTATTTTTTACCATATCAGTTCTAATCTGCAGATTAATTTTAGTGTGTTGTAATAAAGTTATTTTAGTCAAGATCCTTGAAAAATATATTTTAATATTGTCAATATAAATAGTAAATACTCTGCAATAGCATGATATAATTGGTTATCGCTGTTATCGTTTTTTTCATATTTTTCTCATTTTTCTACTAGATTCCACGCTTGCCTTTTAAAACAATGTCTGTACTACTTATTGTCTATATTTACTTCTTAATTTAATATATCACTTCTAGAAATATATTACTTATTTCGTGAATATCATTATTGACTATTGTAATTATTTGAAAATAATTTTTATGTTTCACCCTATAATTTTACAATTAACTTCTAACCTATTACAATTTATGTTGTAAAATCTGATGTTTTAGCAGGTGTTTTTCACTTTTTCAAATAGGTTTTACAACGTTTTCCTTCGCTAGACTAGTATTGATGCAATTATTTACCTTTCATCTCTAGGTTTTCTGATGGGTGTCTGATGAAGTTATAGCCGGTTCCTACCTTTGTTGTACAGGTGTATGTTTGGCTGTATTTTTACTGTTTTTAAGGGATGTCAAAATACTTGTTGAAATGCTAGTTGCATATAATAGTTTTAGTTTGTTGCTTTCCCCAATAAGATAAATAGTGATCTCTTACCGTGAGTATCTAGTATTTATCTGTTCTGAACTTTAATGCAAATTTTAATTAAAAATATATTTTATACGTTTTAATTCAATGGAAAAAATATGGTTCTATAGGAATCATTTAAAATTGTCCTAGAAAATTGAAATCTGAAATATTACTTCTTTTTCATAAATAAAAGCGATTCAAGGAAAATAAAATGTTTTTTGTCTAATGTATTAATTAGATTATTATAATTATTAATTAATAGGTTAGAAAACTAGACTGTATGTTGTTTAAAACATTTTTGTCGTATCAATATGAAATATTATCAATACCGTGATTTAATAATATTAATTTTAAATATCGCTTTTCTTTTTATGTTTTCAATCAATTGTGTTCATAAAAAAATAAAATGAACGAATTTTAACAACGTATATGTGTTTATTAAAAATATATACAATTATTAAATGCAATTACATGTATTTTTAGTTAAATGTAATTCTAAATATTGTAAATGTAGTTACGACAGCAATGTCTTTTGTAACGGTTTTAATTTTCAATGCCAGTAAACATATTCTATATTCGTGGGCTTGTTATATAAGAAAAAAACTGTTTTACTATTTTTTTTGGCCACGTATAAAATTGCCTACTAGTTAAGGCCTGCATCATACCTAATATATTTTGAACCAATATGGCAATCAAATTTTAAATTGTATTAATGCGCATGAGTCAAGAACGCAACACGAATTGCATCTTTATATCAGCGACACCTTTTTTTTTAATATGCAGATTTAGATTGAATGAATTTATTAATAAAACTCAAAAGGCCGCATAAACCTGATGTTGTTATAAAAAATTTGTTTTTTCGTAAAAAAAAAAATGTTTTGTATAGTATAATTAAATTTAAACACATAGTTAAAATAAAACACTATCTTCAAAATATATTATTTGCAATAAAATTAGTACATTCATTGTTGATATTAATCTTCTTCGATGTTTTTCAATTAAAAAATATCTGTTACATAGGCTAAGCTTTACCATTAAAAGGACCGGACTAGATGCAGGCCCTAACCAGTAGGCAATTTTAAATGTTGCTTACCGAATTATAAAAACATTTTTTTTTTGTTATGTAACAGGCCCACGAATATAGAATATGTTTACCGGCCTTTAAAAGCTAAAAATTTTAACCGTTAAAAAAGACATTGATGTCTTAACTACATTTTTAAGCCTACAATATTTAGGATTACATTTAACTAAAAATACATGTAATTGCGTTGTATAATTTTCAATCAACACACATGCGTTGAAATGCGTTTATTTGATTTTTTTATGAACACAATTATTTGAAAACATAAATAAAATGCGATATTTAAAATTAATATTATTAAAACACGATAATGATAATATTGCATATATTAATACGACAAAAATGTTTAAACAATATAAAGTCTAATTTTTTTAACCTATTAATTAATACATTAGACAAAAAACATTTTATTTTGCTACTGGAAAATATGGCTCTGTAGAAAACACTTTGAGTTGACCTAAAATGCTGATACATATAACATTTCTCATTTCCTAACTTGTCAAGAACTCTATAACTACTATACTACATTTTTTTAATAAGAAACGTATTTCATACAAAAACATCAGGTTTTTGCCGCCTTTCTAGTTTTGAAAAAAATCTTAATAAAAAAAGTTTTATTTTAAATTTAGATTTTGACAATATTTGCCTATATTGAATCCCTTAATAAATATAAAAGGCGTTATTACGGGTGATTTCCAAGGCAAAACAATTCGGTTAAAATATTTTATATCAGTTCTATAATTGAACCCGGCCGGGCTACCGCTAATAACTTACTATCGGTGTACAAAGCAACTATTAAATGCTTTCTCAAATGCCATGTATATTATTTATATTAATATATTCAAGCCATCTGCCCGCCATCTCCAACCAACAGCTGTCGTTCGCGCCTCTAAACGTTGTAAACAGCTTAAATATTACTGCGTAGGTATATCCGAACAGTAGATCTTACCGCTGTAAGTGCGGGCTACGGGTATGCATACATTATATTCATGTATAAGTACCCGAAAAGAAAATTCCGCGAACGTAAGGGCGGACCGTTATGTAAGTATAAAATGTAAAAAAAAAAAAAAAATCATAAATATAATATCAGCGTACAAAGTCGATGGTGGATGCGGTGACGGAAGTGTGGAGCAGTGTTAATAATTAGGTCCGCCGTAATAGCGGACGGGGCGAAAGGCCGGTGTCGCGGGCTGGGCAACGGTGTGGGAAGGGCCGCGGGAGGGTCTTCCAGGGCAGAGAGTGCGGCGCGGCCGCCGTATTCCTGGCGCCGACTGCCGCAGGCCGTCTGCCAAAACGACGGGGGCGCGCTGGTGTCCCGCGCCCCGTCGACGGCGGCACTCAGTTGTGTGTATAAGACCGTACGCTGTTGCTTAGTGTGCGGGAAGGCGGCCGGACGCGGACGCGTTATGATGGTATACCAGTTCGTGGTGGTCCGCTACGAGACCGTATCGGGAACCGGGTGATCGCGGTCATCAGGAGACCCGCCGCCGAGTCCAAGCCAACAGCCTAGGACCCAGAGGAGAGGCGAAAAAAATTTATTAAATAATAGTACTAAGTAAGATAGCAGCGATACATAAGTAGAAACGGACACAGGCACAATTCGTGGGGGGGGGGAGGGGCTTGGGTGTATTTAGAACCCTTTGTTTACGATGCGCTTCTAAGGGCATTTAAAATTGCTTGCGTTCCATACCGCTTGTACTGTATGAGAGATGACGTTGTTCAAGCAACTCCAATTTTTTTTTTTCGAAATTGCGACCTTGGAAACGAATATAAATAAAAGTGAATTTTCTTAGACTTCAAAAACTCGGACACTGCTCTGTTATCTTTTAACGGATTGACGTATCGCGAGGTACGATGGTAGCTTGTAGTATACGAACGGATAAGTATCATTTGAATATATACTTGAAGTACGTTTTTGTATTTTATTATCATATAGCAATAATAATACATACGAGTTAAAGTTATGAGGAAAGCACAAAATAATGTTAAAAGGTATTGAACAAATATTTTGAAAAGTAGGCGAGGCTTTAATAGTAAGCTTTTGTTCACTTAAATGTTTGAAATTCGGCTACACTGGTACACATATATACAATTGAAATTGATTATTACAACATAATTTAAGCTTATTGAACGAAACACAAGTAACACCAATATCACAGTAATTTTTATGTTATATAAGTATTCTCAAACGTTTCATTGAAAAGCAAAATTGGGCAAGTTCCCTATTTATATTAACTTCGTTATAAAGTTAAATAAAATATTATTGATTCATTACAAGAACAAGTTAAATTAACTTTTCTATTATCTTAGTTGTGTTAAAATGTAATATTAACTTAACACAGTAGCTCAAGTTAGTTGGGAATAAAAATAGGTTTTTTCACAACATGCATATGTTTATAATACAAACAAAATTAGTTAGATAGTTGACCAATAATTGAAAACTTAAAGTTTGTAATTAAACTAACTGGGACAAAAAATAACCAGATAAGTCAAAAGTTTAATATCGGTTGAATTTTATCAACACATTAATGTCGACTTTTATGCTAGAATTAAGAACGACTCGTTAAAGTCTTTTATCCTCCGTGGTCCAAAAATCTCAAACGGAACAATCCTGAAAGAGATCACGGCAATTCTTTTAACGCTACAAAACTGATTTCATTCACAACCGCATATTATTCTCTTTATGGAAACGTAAGATAACATTTCACATTAATTCTCGATCACCGATGTACTTGAATATCATAAAACGCTGTATTCCGATGAAGTTTAACTCATAACTCATACTGACGCCATTATACCGAAAATTGCCCTTTGTTTTAGTACCTAACTAGGTTCGTCGTTTTTAAGTTTGCAGCATAATGTTGTTAGCTTGAAAAACAACAATTTATCATTACATAAATATGTATTATTTACAAGTATGCGGTCCCACACTTAAAACAATAATAACCAATTGTGCCTATACATATATACATTAAATTGCTCGAAAGTTTGCATGATGTTTCAAATAATAACTTCTCAAACAATTAATGTTTATGTCTCTGATAAATAACGTTTTATTATTATTACATGTTCCCCGAATATATTCATGTCCATTAAATGCATCATACGACAGTAAAAAAGCACCGTAAACAACGTTTCATATACTAATTTATAGTTAATTTTATTCGTAATTTAAAATAGTAATAAACATAGATAATTGGAGCATACAAATATGCTCGAATGTAGATGATGATAAGCCAAAAATTATTAATAAGCTAAGCCAGTTGCAATTTAGTAAAAATTTTAATTTTTACAAACAATACAGGCGAAACAATTTTATATCAATTGCATAATTATGATTTTATGATAATATTATAATGAAACGTAGATTATGAAATTCTCTGATAAGTATATGGCAATATTACTTTTTTTTAAATTAAAAAACCATAGTAATTAGATGCTGTTTTGTGTAATTGAAAATCAATTTGACAATGTCATAATTTTTGTTAAGAGGGCGTCGCACCGGTGATTTTCAGTGGTAAAAACATGTTTAAGCAGACTGAAAATAACTCGTTTACTTTTGGTTTTAGAGTAAAAGCACCCATTATAAAATTTAAAGAAAACAATATTCTGGAGGACAAGACGGTGTGTTTTTAAAAAAAAATCGTTTTTTGAAAAGTTCAGTCATTTAAAAATGTTAAAATAGTCGTTGTTTCTAAACTATGTATTGAGCGTTATACTTGGAATAATAAAAAAAACCGCAACGTCTTGCCCTCCGGAATGTTGTTTTCTTTTAATATTATAATGGGTGCTTTTACTCTAAAACCAAAATTAAGCGAATTATTTTCAGTCTGCTTAAACATATAGAGATGAAAAAACATTTTTAAATCACTTTCAAGGATGCTGTGATAGTCCAAAAAATAAATTAACTACCAAAATAGAGTCCTAGTTATTGAACTAATAATTACACATCACAGTTTAACCTTTAAATTAAGATTTTGTACAAAATTGGCTATACTTTACTCCTTTAAAATGAGCGGTGCGACGCCCTCTTAATGTCTATTTTCTGAATAATTCTGTATTTTTTGTTATTTTTATCCAACAACACCCACTAAGTCATTTTTTTTAAACACAATTAATTTCTTATGAGTGTAATGACAAATAATTAATAAAAAACCCTATAAACTTTAATGTATCCAACGGTTACTAAGTATATAAACATTTTAAATAAGGACCACCCTAGTATATCACTTCTGTATTTATTTATTGTGTTCATAGTTATCAATAACCTAACTAGCTTATGACTAATTATGTACCTACTTGGGGTACGTAAATAGAGATTATATGTTATGAAAAAAACAAAACACTCACACTACAGATTACGGTTTATATTTAATTACATATTTTAATTCCAATAATTACTTTCTAAGTTTTTCTTGTTTGTTCATGACCTTTAATCTAAAATATAATTAACTACTTCTACTAATTTTAATCTGAAGTACCTATTTTTGAATTAAATGCTTGATTAAACTGGATAAACTTTAATAATCATTTGAAACCTATTAAATAACTCAAATTATTTACAAATTATAAATTATATAATATTGTTTATTAAATTCAATATTTAGAAAAAACATTTTTAAAAATTACAAACAGGTGACGTCCGACGATGGCCTGAAGGAATTTTTCGATTGGATCTCTTAGTACAAGCATTTGGACGAAACTTAAAATCCAAAAACACCATTAACAGTAACAATGAATGGTAAAACCGATCGTAAAAAAAATATAAGAAACTCATTATTAACTGTATTGCATTGATGCGCACTCGTATTAAGGTAACCAGTAATTTATGTTTGCTTAAAATTTAACCCAACAATACTCTGTACTTAACCAAGTCTATAAAAAAAAATGTTAAATGTATTATGTATGCTAACTTTATACAAATTTAATCAGACTATTACTTATCACATAGATTATAATTTCTTGTATGCGTTTTATTTTATTTTTATTAGTTTTTAATTTGAGGATTAAAGAATTCAACAGTTTATTACCAATAAAATTGTATAAGTGTAATGCATTGTATTTGTGTACAGTCTAGATTGACTAAAATTTTAGAAAATGACTACTACAATAGATCCCTTTTTCACATTTGTATGTTGATGTCTAAAGCTATTCGTCTAAGTTTCATTGCGAGAAAGCTGCAAACGTTTTTGTTTACGGGCAATGCTGACTATGTGAATTTGTGTATTTCTTTTTTTTTTTTGCTTTGCGCTATCCCTTTGATTAACTATACGGACGCGGAAAAAGGTTTGACCGTAAAATTCACATGGAAGGTTACTTAAAATTCGACACCGCGGTCATTTATATCACTACAACAGCGTTGCTTTTGTAAACATATTTAGGTCATAATTAGGTATTAACTTATACTAGCAATGGTATATTTTTATAAAAACACACTGTACACATTTAGTATTGAAATAAACAATAGAAATTATTCAGGTTCATAACACGATTCGCAAATATAGGTATATATTTCATTCACGGGCATATGCTGGTCCGCTTTGATAAATGCAGAAATAATATAGTTTTTTGTCATGGCAGCGCGATGCCTCTTGAAGTTTTATAAACCGATTTATTACATTGGATAAACAACGATTGCCGTCTGGAACCGTGGTTGGTACAGTTCCAATATTGCTCTGTGCGCCACAATTATTACTGAGCGAAACTAATGTATCAAGTCTACACGCCTTCGAGGCTTTAGAGCTGTTATATAATACGGTCACTTGTCTGAGTCCATTATCCAAGTCTATGATAATATGGTCCTCGGAGACATAAAAATAAAAATGATATCATCCATAGCGATAACGTAAATCATCAATGTAAAAGCAGTAAAGTTTGCTGAACTTTTAAGCAGTGCGTTATCAAATATTTACTTTAAATATTGTAGGTACATACGGCATAGTCAACATTTTATTAGTATTGCATCATTGAATAATCTCTTCACACGTTTTCGACTTCTATCAAGCTTGCATTATTATTATTATTAGTTATTACCCACCAATAAAAAAAGTACGGAGTTACTTTGGAGGTTGTTTAAAACTTGGTATTTTAGCAAGCTTACCTAAAAAATCGCTTTTCTTGAAACCCACAAATTAAAATTGTAACTATTATATCCGTCTATATCATGTTAATTATGGTGTATATTTTTCGAAACGATAATACATTTATCGGGTAATTCAACTGAGGCACCCGTAGTGTAATAAAAATAGTTAATGAGCCACGTGAAACAAAAAATATCTTAAGAATCCATTCAATAAAAGCGCGAATAATTGAGTAACGATCAATCTTAATTTATTTTAAGTAAATACTGACTCTTTCCTTAAGTACCTACTTAGTTAGCTATAATAACACCACTAATTAATAATCTCTAAGGAAAGAAAAATATTGTATGATATTTTTTCCATGCTTTATACGGTTATTTTTAACTACAAAGGTCAAAAACATTATTATTGTTTCAAATAAGTATGACGTATATTTGTTAAGTCACAATGCATCAATGATAAACTATGTAAATTGGATTAATTTATTTTGAAGTAATAAGAAATATAAGTCGTGCGACTAAAATCACCAATGAGGAATTCTATATATTATATGTACTAGAGATATAATACCTACTCTATTCCTTCTACACATAATACTCCATTATTAATATTAAAAATTAGATAAAATTAACGTAATAGTTTAAAAAAAAATTCTTTAAAAAAACAAATCGCTTAAACAATACCAATCGGTGAAACTATTTGTGTTGGGCATTTAAAAAAAAAATCTTATTGCATATTTTTATAAGTTATAACAGTTAACACTGTATATTCGACAGTAATAAGAAAGTTTAACTGGAACGATAGCTTGACAACTGACAGTCATACAACAAGGGAAAAAAAGCGTAATAGGTTTCATAAGTGTATACAACATGCGATAAAAAACGATTTTTAATTTTATGAAATATCGTGTACAAAATTACTTTTGGAAATGTACATTACATTCCATGCGTGTAGGACTGTAATCTCACAAGCGATTACAAATGCCGTTTTTATAGCATTCGTTTGCTTTCGTGAGTCATAAGTTTATACAAGGTTGCGATGGAAAAAAATGTTGATTATTCTTTGGTGTTTAATTTCATAAAGAAAAACTAAATAAAAGATATGCAGAGGTTTGCAACTAATGTTCTTTTAAAGCATTTTTTCCAACCATAATAATTGTATGTTTAATTGTTACCACTGTGCATTGAACTTTCAAAAGAAACATAAAACCTTTTAATATTATTTGAGTTTCCTCTTAGCTTAAGTTTACCTATGTGTTAGCTCGAGTTATGGTTGCTGTGTTAAAACTATTTCTGACCGGTTATTGTATCAGATTTATCATATCAATAAAAAGTTTATGTAAAATTGTAAAGTATACAGCAGGCTTAAAATAACTAACAAAAACCTCTATTTACCAATTTCAAAGAAATTAAAAAAAAAGTTTAAGCTAAAAAGTTTAGATTTACACTATCTATAAATTATTTTTTCTTCGATTATCATTAAGTAAATTTTTTCTCCAATTTTATGAGATATGGACTACCGTAACTATACTGCTTGAGCCCTGCAAAACCCCCAACAAAATTATAATGATACTTATAGGGTAATTTTAAGTGTTTATGTAATTTTGTGTGCATTTTTAAGAGCTAAGGAAATCATGTTTGCAATGTGTATATTTTGTTATTCCTATTTATTTCTCTCGAGTTTATTTGATTGTACTTTTAATTTACTTGCAATAGTTGGATGAAAGTTTTATTATTTTATGTTTATCGCTTATAATTAAAGTCGTTAGCAGGTACTTGACTTTTTTAATTTTTTCTGTTGCAATTTTTGTTGCGACCACATTCTAAAACTGAAACTAAGAACAAGATAATATAGTTCAATTAAAAAATAAAACACCAGTCTTATAATCGACCGGTCCGGTAGACCACTCTGACTCTGTCACCGCCATACTTTTCCTCGTTAACGGTGGGAACGTCACGTGCCACGAATGAAACATAAAATGTAAAAATCGTTGCCGTGAATTCCTTATTAAACTTTTAAAAGTAAAATTAAAAGAACCATTGTGACATTAACATGAAACCTCCGTAAATACCTATTTTCTTGGTTATGTAACGCATTGGCCAGTGTAGAAATACTAGCGATGAATCATTCTGATGCAGTCAAACAATAAGCGAATCTCTTTCAAACCCTTAATGCATACGATTGAGTAGTTTAAACAAAAATAAAATAACCTTTCAGTCACTACAATAGCCCATGTTGTAACACTAATAGACAAAGTGTCCATAAATATTGCACACATTTACGGATTTACCACTTTCCAACGGTTTTGGCCAATTGTTTTTTTTTGTCACATTATCCAAATATTTTGATAGCACTGGTGCATTAAATGTTTAAGCGTATTTAGATAGTCTCTCAGCATTCTCAGATTTGACTTAACAGCGAGCCGAGGGCCTAGGGACGAATGCTATTGTTACTTGAATTCATCGGTAACGACTGTACGGTTAAATTTTTAGAAACTAACCCACTTAGTCTGGTAAACAAAACTTTTTTTTTTTAATACTAAAAATGATAAGTGTTATTGTTATTGTCACGCCAGTTATAATTAGCGTTTGAGCTGTAAATAGTGATAAACACATAATATATAAATTGAATAAAACTTGGGTGACCTGTGAATTCAGTGAGTAGTTAATAATATGTTTTTAAAATAGATCATCATTATATTCAATTATATTAGTTATTTAAATTTTATACGCCCTCGTCAAACGTGACGTTTTTTTTTTAATTAGTATACTCGTGGTAACATAAAAGAGTAGCATGCATAATTTGATTGCTGGGGTTTTAAGTTAATACTACAAAGTATAATTTTTTATCACTCTTGAAACTGTTATGATGATTTTAATGAGTAAAAATATTCATACATGGAAGATAAAAGATTTTTGTTTACAATGTATGCCGTTGGTCTACAAAAGGTAAACAAAACTCGTTGGAGGTAGCTTTTAGGAAATTACCTATTGTTCGCCTTTTTGTGTGTAATTCATTACTTCTATTTCTTTTTTTCTTATCCGATTATACTTTAACTGGCTTCGTTTTAGACACGAGCCTTTGTCTATTGAAACACGCAGTTCTTGTCAAACAAAGGCCTATTTAGTTACAGTCTGTACACTGACCGCAATACGATACAATGTGATAATCATTACTGTTCAGTAATTTTATAGGACATTAACGGTATCAATAATTTAATGGGTATTATAAATTAAGTACCGGTAATATTCATAAAATCCTTAACGATATTTTACTTTAATATCCTTTTGAAAATTATAATAAATACCCCGAAAGACGGTATTGGTAATAAAAAAAACCATAAAATAAATTTAAAGAGTTCAAGAATGTTTATATTTTTAAGTCTTTAGAATATCATAGTTACATAATAATTATAAATAATTATTTATTTTAAAATCGTAAAATAATGAAAAATGGAAATAAGATACAATATCAAATGCGTGAATTAAATAAAAGTGGAGTATGCTTATTAAACGGTACACATAGCAATAATTACCAAATATTTTCAAAACGATTTGTTTGTGTTAAGAAATGATATATTAATAATGGAAAGAATTATAAATATAATTTGGTTGGAGGTTCTGAATATAACTTATTTTTAGTGTAAGTTATTGAAACATTTGTGTTTTTGTAAAGTATTTTTTTGACAATAAAACTACTGTGCAAATTATTATACGACTTTATCGAATGAAATATTATAAAATAAGTTTTAAAATATATTACTGCTGTTGATAATAGTTCTAGTTTTTCAAATGGCGTGTATAATTTATTAATTGGTCAGCCATATTGTGGACGCATATGTATAGTAAACTACAAGGTTTAAACTATTGATTTTTGTGCACTAAAACTGCAACCAGAAATAAAAGTTTCTAAAGTTTGTACCCACGGCCACGGTGACATGGATCGAAACAGAGAAGGGCCACAATTATAAATTTACTGGTCTAGTGCTTTTTAGGTCCGGAGAACTGTGTGCGCGCCTATGTTTTGTCTGATCATCGGTGCGTCAAATGATTTTTATCCGTCATTCACATCCGTTAGTCACTGTTGTTGGTGTAATGCAAATATATAATACAAATGGGTAACACCCAAACAAGTGTATTGTATAATCGCAGAACTCATTATGCCAACTAAGTATTAAGAGCACGGTAGGTTTACTTACTTATGCTGTTAGGATACAAATTTAACTCTGTTGATTTTTTGTGAAAAACTGATCATGCTCAAACTTTATCCGTAGTTTACACTTGTGGGCAGTGTTTTTTATTTTATTTCACAATATATCACTTGTTGTCTAGTATGTTAAATTAATAGTTTACACTCATCGTGTTTTAACGGATGTCAGGTGCATTGTGCTAATATTTATTGTTGGTTTGTGTGTGTTTGTTTGTTTAGGTACGTCCAGTGTACTTAGAAATGTGACCGCGGGCGAACGAGACCAACGTGCGTTATAAGCATCGGGTTGTGCTATGCTAGCCGCCCATTACGTTCTGCTCCTGTTGGCGGCCGGATCGTTTATCACTGCATCGGTTTTCGCTGTACCCCAACAAGATGAAGGTAAAAATTTAATCATTTTAATTAAATATTTTTAATATCGACAGTATTCCATTTTAATTACTCACAATATAATTGTATTAATTTACCAAATACTAGTAAATTTATAGTTTCAAAAATTCACCTTAACCCGGTTTGACAAATTCTGATAATACAGATTTTTGGATATAATTTTTATTTTTACTCGAGTCAAAACTATTGTTTCAAATACACTTAGACGTACTAACAGTATAGTTTTGTCGTTTAATTTCAATTAAAAAATTAATTAATTAAAAAATACGGAAATACCATATATGTCCAATTACATACCATGCATTTTATAACATTATATTACATTTTTTTGAAGTATTGTTTTTTTTTTAACAATATGATATTACGTTTCTAAAATCAGAAATCCAACTTTTACGGAATGTGTAATTTAGAGTGAATAGAACATTTAAAGTAAAATATTAAACTAGTGTTTTTTTTTACATTTTCAAAAATAAAATTTTCACTAGAAAATCATGTTACCAGACTATAGACATATACGTAAGAATAAATAGTTATCAAATTTGTTTTTTATATTGTTATCAGCTGAAAAATAAACAATAGAATAAATTAGAATTTTACCAAATTCAAAAAGAAAACTGTATTTTAATTTTTTTAGCGTGTTCATTTATAAGCGATTTAAAAACTAATCATATTACCTAACCAAACCTACAATTTTTTTAATTTTATTTCAACTATTTAAATGTAAAATAGTTTTTCACGTTTATCTAGTTACAGCTTAATGTAAAATACATGTTCGTTTTATATACACACACTAGGTAATAAAAGCGATTGTTATTTTATTAGCACCGCAGTCAACGCTGAAAAAAATACAATAAATTATACTTAAGAACACGCATGTAGTGATAATGCATACACGAAACGCCGTCTTTATGCGAAAACTAAATAACAAGAAAAACGTTTAAAGTTTAGACTTTTTATCGATCGTTTATATTAATTATATATTTTTTTTTATATCCAGTAATGATAGAAACTCAGCAATATAGATTCGTATTGTCTTTAGCAGCCTCAATATTATCAATCACAATTAATATCATTCATTGATATTATTGATAAAAATTTAGTCATAAAACATCTGTGTATAGTTTTTTAGTTATGTTTGTGTAATAAGTATTGCGTGCTTGTGTAAACTATAAAACTAAATTGTAGAATGTCCAAAAATCGTGCAAATTCGCACATACTAAAAAAAAAATTAAAATACTAAAATTACACAGTTTTTGTGTTCAACCAAAATGAACCGAACATTCAAAACAAAGCATTATTCATTTTGAATTGTACTAAAACCGTTTTGCTAGACGAGGAAACGGATTATTAATGCGCTTTGCATATTTTAACATGGTTCGTGTACCTCTGGCCAATTAGTTAAACAGGTATTTTGACACACTGTCCTCGTCAGACTGAAGATTAATGTAACTCTTTAATTATTTAACAGCCATTTTGGCCGAAATTTAACTCGTAGATTGCATTTACTTGGTTTACAAAACGGCTTGAAACGTTGACGTTATTTTACTTACTCTTAAGGATTTGTTTGACGATTATAAGATGCAACATGGCCGTGTCGTAGAATAAGTCAGCAAAGACAAACGTACACCATAGGCGTGAGCCTAAAACCAAAACCAACCGCTGGTAATAAATCAACAAGCCAATTGTGTCGAGCTCCAATCCCCTATAGGGATTTTGGATTTCATTCTGCAATGGTAAATGCAATAATACGGCTAAAGATGTCTGATTTATTTTTATTTATAGGCGGTAAAAACCTATATTTAAAAAGACACATCTAAAATGTATTCAGACAAACAAGTCCTGCTGATAAGTCCTATTGAAGTCGTAAGAATAAAAAATGTGCAAAAGCTTACTTAAATGATAATAATGTTTTCAATGTATTTCTATGCGGATGATATTCATTAATTTTTTTTTCACTGTCTCTTTCGACAAATCTTAAAACAAATTAAAATTATAAAAAAGTCGATAGCACTTAGCAGGTACTTGATTTTTTCAATTTGTTCTGTTGCAATTTTTGTTACGGCTACATTCTAAAAATGAAACTAAGATCAAGATAATATATTTCAGTGAAAAAATAAAACACCAATAACTTCCGGTTAATACTTCAGATAAGCTAAATAGATGTGCTAAAAAAAATATTGGGCCATTAATATTTTTTTTATTACTATCAAATAAACATTAACTGAGTAATGTTTAAATGGATCACTCGAGAAAACATTTGCCTAACGTGTTTCAGATTAACTACTCTCGATTAGATGGTAAGAGGCCACAAATAAAAAAATTAATTAAAAATGGTCTTAAAAAATAATTTCAAGATTTCCTATTTTTAAATTGTCAATTTTTTTGTTTTAAATAATTATAGTTTTTGTTTATAGCACACAATAAAACTGGATGTTTTATAGAGATTAATACCATTTTATTATTTCGGCAATATGACGGTTATATAATAAAATATTATTATATTTCTTAAAACCGTACCCATTCTTATTCGATGGATAAACATATATTATATATATATAACGATTTTTGAAGAAAAAAAATGAATCATCGAATATTTGGCTATCGATTTGCAACTTGGAAATTCGAAGCTGACCGTTACAGATCGTTAAAAAGCGACGGGATGAATTTTTCAATTTACAAACTGTCAATGCGCGTTACCCAAGTAAAATAGATAAGTCCCGGCCGACAGGATGGAATTAGCCAACGTTCTATGTGTTTGTTTGTCAAAGGGACTGCTTCGACACGCGTGTTAACGAACACGGAAAATCAACCATAAGGGAATAGCTTGTGTAAAATAAGTTTTAGATTTTATTTTAGTTTCTTCGTCTGATGTCTTGTGTGCAAGGCACCCCGCATTGCGCTGTTCGGCATTTAATTCATTGCTCAATAACTTAGCCATCAAATTCACCATTCTACACTATTATATATTCTATATACATATGATACACTATGAATTATTCGCGTGCGCTGGTTATGTGTCGCCATGCCTTTAACGGCCATTGATCTTCACCTCGCCCTACCCGTCACTTCTGCAGATGCTTTATGTACAAGTATAACAAAAAAAAAAAAAAAAACACTACATTATACTAATATGCGTGCCAAATAATATACCGAAACCGCTGGCAAAACGCACGCGAACTCCAATCAATTCGTATTTCATTGTTCACCTTTTTCTATTGGGACAACCCAACAACAAGGTAAACGATTTGAAATTAAATTCACGTATACCGACTGCACCCAATGTCATATTATAAGCTGTACCTTCACAAAAACGCGACAGTAAAGTGATTTATTAAATCGGTCTATTTATATAAAAAAAAAAAAAAAATTTAAAAGTAGTAGCTGATAAAGAGTACACCTACACAGTGTGTTTTGTGCTGGATTTTAACGTTATATATTAGATCCCATAAACAAAAGTCGAACCGACGTTTTACTGCTCAGCGAATGGGGTTAGTGCGGTTATTATACTATTAAATTATATTATAAAGTCTAATGCGGATAACCCGTGTTAATTTATTAATCTTGAATAACGTTAACTTCAAACGATTGCACGGTTTCTCGCAAGTACAACTCACAAGTGATGTAGCGATGACCCGAACATCAATATAGTGTGATTGTTGGTTTTTTTTGTTTAATCAATCTCCTGATAATGGCTGGCGAAAGAAAAAATCCGGAAACCCTATAATTGTATTATCATTGGATAGGTTGTTCTCAACTTTTGTTTAAAAGGATTAAAAATCAGGACTTTCAACGAAGGCAATAACGATAACGATGCATCAGCAAATAATACTTAGTATGTATACAATGAAATGCCCATATAAGTACATTTTCATTCGATCAAAGATATTGTACTTATATCGTCCCTCTTGAATATTTCCATAAAGGGAAATACATAAATAACTGAACACACGGTAGTGACTTATCCGTCATCTATAACGGCGACCGTTGGGAAGCATCAACATACATAATGCAAACGGCCAAACATACACAAATCTGTTTATCTTCCAAAGAAATAAATGTATTACCATTGAGTATACACTAGATAAATATTATATGCATGGATGTACGAATAAGCCGAGTGTGATATTTTTTTTAAATGTAAATTAGAATAGTTGAGTTTCCATTAGACCTATACTGATACTAACATTTTTATAGTAAAAAAAAAGTCGAGTGAATGTTTATATTGAAGTAATATTTTTAAAAAAATAGATACTCTTTTCAAAGCCAATATCAATCGGCAAATAATTTTATAAAGTTTCCCAGTAGAATTATGTTTGGTATACTTTGCATTTTTTTTTTTTATGCCTAACCATTTGCGGTTTCATGACATTAAATTGATAAAACTTCAGAAAAATACTATAAAAAAAAATAATAATATTTTAACAACAAATATCAACCACCCGTAGAACAGTATATCTTGCTATCAGAAAGTTCAAACCGTAGTCGACCTTTCAGTGTTATGGAGTTCCACCGTCTATGCGGACACGCGTTATTACACAACCGCCTGAACTGAAAAAAATAATTGATTGACAACAACAGAAACAACGGGAGTCGTTTCCAAATGGGGTTTCTCCCGTGGAGTACAGTTTTCGTTCCCATCGTTTTAATTGCAATATCGATCCGGTTAGATGAAAAAAAACTGCTCTAGTATGCGTGTTACGGGATTCCTAGCATTATTCTCTAATACATATAATAATATGAAAATCTTTTATTAACTTTTATTCGAGTAAATTCAAAAACGAATAATGTCGCATTTCACTCCATCGATTACACCGACATGACAACCTCTACGGACAACGTCTTGTGCGTTGAGTGTTGACTGGGACGCCTGGGAAATCGCACTATTTGCAACTAACCTTGTAATGTAAACATTCAATAAAAAAATCAAAATACTGACTACACGAACTAAAGATAATGAAAACTAATTTTAATATTGATTACAAAATAAACAA